AAGCTGACATGCCAATACAAATGCAGTAGTTATTCACTCCTCAGAATCATGCCCTTTAAGATGTATCAAACGCATGTAGCATAAACAGCAGCATTCCAAAATATTGGATATTGCAATTAACTTCTGAACAATGCTAAATAAGTTTGAAAGAGAGCCCTCTGAGCTTCACTTATTTGGTGGCTTCTTGGTTTCTTCAGGTAGGATTGCTATCTGAATTAAAGACACAGCATGTTTGTTTAACAAAAACCCCTTTGTACGTATGTAAACATCTACATCTGAACAAGTATTCTAGAATTTGCTGTATGGGCCTGGTCATTTCATAGTGAAGTAACCACAACGTTCTAAACCTTTCTTTTCTCTCCTCTCTACAAAACGCAATTTCATATAACACCAGCTGCTAAGTCTCAGGAACAATTTGGTACTGAATATTTTCTTTTAAAAATAAATTTAATACAAGCCCTATATTTCCATAGAGGAGAACCTTAAAAGTTTTTGCAGATTCTAGACCTTCTTTTCCCAGAATCTTCCTAACAAAACTATAGCTGTGACATTACTCTAAAATCTTATCGTCATGAAAGGAAGATCATGAGATACCTGAAGACACCATTCTGTTATTCTTACTATTTTGATGACAACTCACATCTTTCTAGATATTGTTCACACAACAGAACTTTCAAGTTGAAGGAATTCAAAACAGACACTTTATGTTTACAAGAAATACAAGACCCATGACAAGTGAAATAGTATCAAGCTTTTGTCTGTTATACCAAACAGAATTTAAATATTTATATTTAGTTTTATATTTAGTACATACATGGACCCAGAAAGAACAGGAATACCATCACATTTGTCTTATTTTCAGGCAAGGTCATTCAGACAGAACTTTATTATTATTTTTCAAATATAGTGCTATACCTGAACTCCAGCCAATTTAAAAAGTGAAGAAAAAGATTAACTCCAGATTTCACCAATAATACTTTAACAGTCATATTGAGTAAAAAATATAGATATTAAAAAAGATATAAAACTATTGGGTTCTGATACTGGTATAGTGTATATGACATCAAAAGCAGACACAGAACAACAGTACCTAGCCCCACAGCCTTTATTTGTACAAATTAAATGCAACTGGGATTGTTTTCTGGTCTATACCATTGAACTCTTACCTACCCAAACACGATCACTGCAAGCAAACTGCTTATTGTCCCCAGGCCCTTGATTTGCGTTAACTCACAAACCACATTCAGAGATCATTTGGGAAACGGCGTTTCAGGTCGGGCCGACAATGCCAAGGGCTATTCTAACAACTTAACAGTATGGATTTTCAAGCTCTAGTGTCTGGGAACATCCCTCCTCCTGCCCCAACTCTTTATTTCACTACTGTAAGTGTTGCTGCTGTGCCTCTGTTACCTTCCCTGTAGCTGAGGCAGTGCGACTGTGAGGCTTTTGTTCCAAGGGGCAAGTTGTCTCTTCCTATTCCAACTTTTTGCCATTTCTTCCCAACAGTGTACTAAAGATGACGTCTGTTGGCATATATGGAGTCAGTGAATCACAAGCAAAAAAAATGGGTGAATTAAGGAATTGTGTTAGGATATAGAGTCCTGTAGTCCAAGGATATGGGGGAGAAGAAAGGTGTACCTGACATAGAAACTGTGTGTATCCATGGCAGGTAAGAATCCCAATGCCACCTTGAATTGCCACCCTATACTGAAAATAGTTTTCTTGAAAGACAGACCCTGTCCCTGCTTACCCTGCTCCTCGCAACAAGAACTTGGAGTAAAACCCTTACTGCCACCTACGCAAAAATTATAACGGTAACATGATAATTATTGGTCTTGAAATACTGGTTTTTGGAATGACTGTCTTAAGGATTCAGGGGTTAAGATTCCAATTTTCATGACATCTTCTAATTCAGATTTCAAACAGAAAACAGTGATTGCACCTGTGTCATTAGTTGTTTTCATTTAGCAGGAAGTGAACAAAACACAGCAAAAATGCCCTCAACAGCTCCCCTCTCTGAAGCCAGACCCCATAGCTCTTTATTTTCACTAGCTGACTTGATAATGTATCGGGTATTCACGTATAGCAGATATAGACCACGCTGTGGAAACACAACAGGTCCACTGAAACACAGAGAACTGAGGAGGAGCTCCAGTACACCACATCTGCTCAACGTATATGTAAAACTGCTGGGAAAGATGAAGAAACAATTTATAGCTCAGTGCCTTCAGTAGCTGGAAGGCATACAACTAATGGATCTTTCCTTCATTAGACCAAGCAGTCTCTGGCAGTTTTTCAGTCTTTGTGCTGCCACAGTGGTTGATTGTTAGCAGAAGCATCTGCACCAGTCTCTAGATGTGAACGCCCGAGAAGCAGCAAAAACCTTTGCAATGGAAATTCCCCTTTGGAATTTCCTTGGTTTAACACAGGGTATGGTTAGCTGATCCTCACAGCACTGTGCAAGGCTCATCTACTTTCCTACTAAGGGTTTGTGTTTCTAGAAAGACTTGGCTTCCCCCACCCCGCTGGGTCTCCAAGATGATCTAATGAAATAACTCTTAGATGATTTTCCTCTCTTCAACATCAGAAGGAAGCATAATATGTTGGGTTTTTTTTTTTTTTCTTTCTGTGCTGAAGACTAGATTCTCAAAGCAAACAAAAACCTGGCTGTGCTTCTAGTGCTCTTTTTATAGTTAACCACTGTTGCTGTCTTTGAAGTATTCTCCAGGAAGAAATATCTAGAGCACTTTTTCTAAAAGGGAAACTGTCACTGGCAACTCCCTCTTCAGGATCAGGTATAAATTTGATATTGCCAAGACACTTCAAACCAGTTAAAATGATTGTAATATTTTGTTCAGCTTCAAAAGTTATAGAGGAAAAAAGCTACTCAGAAATCAATTTGTATAGCTATTTATTTTCAGATGATGTCTTACAGTTTTAAGACATCTTACTTGCAGTCTAAGGAAAAGGTCATGAAAATGAGTGGGACTGAACACCAGTGCAAAATCACAAGTCATACATTAAAGCCAGATCTCAAAACTATTAAAAAAGAGACAGAAGAACAAAGAAGAATTTCTGATCAAGAGAACCACTAATTTAAAATTGTCAAAAGTCTCAGAAGATATCACAATCTTGTTATCTGCCATGCTGTACAAAGACATGGGAATAAAACTTTTGTCTAAATCCAAATAGACATCACAAAGTAAGAAAAAAGCTGGGAGAGACAAAGTAGTTCACAACACATCATTTGCCTGTACAGTGAGGAACACAAACTAGGCCTCCTAATTGTCAATCTAGTGTCCTACATTCTAGTGACACACTACCTCTCATGAACAGAATAATTAACTAGAAGAGAAGAGGAGGCACATGATCAGATCCTACAGCTTTCTATTATTTAGGATGAATGGAAACACTTTCAAAATAGGCAACTGGGAACATCTTTTTATGCAGAGAATTTGAGAGCTGGCAAAAGTGACCTTCCAAGAAAAAGCATAAGAGAAACCTATTCTGGTCATTCAAGTAATTAAATCCTCATATAATTCGTTATGAAAGTTGCAATGTGCCTTTCACCACATAAAACCAATGTGAGTTAACCAGCCTGGCAGCAAGGAGCTGACTGAAGAGGAACAAGCCTTGTATTTCCACTTGTTGTGTATAGGTATTATATCTTCCGCAGTTCCTGATAGTCATATAAACAATGTTAATCTTCAAAACAAATGACAGCCATTGTAAAAGTGCCTTCCTGTAAATGCTCAACTTTGCTTTTTACTTAAAGACACACCTCGCAGAACAATAGCTCAGCAGGTATGAATACAACTAAACAATGCATAGACTCCCTGTAGTTTCAAGTTTACATCCTGCAGGCACTTTTGAAAGAGTGGATAACAATGTATTTGGGTAGAAATCTGAAATTATAAAACTAGCACAGAAAAGTAGATCTTGATGTCTAACATTACTCATATTACCATCACTACAGCTATTCATAGCTAACCTTTGTATAGCTACTAATAATTTAGTTTAAATTGTTATTCCTCAATTTGGAAAACAGTAAAATTAAGTTTTTGGAAAAAGTCTTTAGTATTGCTACACTATGTCTGAGAACGCACTTGAGA